ACAACAATTTGCCTCTGGCTGAGATAAACATGGGGGTTTTGCTTTTTTGTTTGAGACTGTGTCTCACTATGTAGCCCTGGCTGGCCTAGAACTTGCTATGTAGACCAGACTGGCCTCAAACTCACAAAGATCCACCTGCCTCTGCCTCCCAAGTTCAGGGATTAAAGTTGAGCACTGCCAAGCCCAACAAGCTCTTTTATTCCAATCTTAATTATTAATATTAACTCTCAGATCACACACTGCACATCACACTATGTGTGTGTTTGTGTGTGTGTGTGTGTGTGTGTGTGTGTGTGTGTGTGTGTGTGTTGGTTACAGAATGGCTGTAAAGGGTTAAGAGGCTGAAACAGAGTTCAGGAGGTTTCAGAAGCCCTCAGAAGCGAAGTAGTGGATAAAAAGCAAATAGAATCTGTAATGAAAACATAATGAACCAGGCCCAGCTGGAGATCTTGCTGGAGAAGCTTTAGCAGAGGCAGCTGTAGAGTCGGGCTGCAAAGCCGGAGTTAAGTCCAGCTGCAGAGTTGAAAAGACAGGTCTGATCCAGAGGAATGGGTGAGAGAACAGCTGGATGGCACATCCAAATAGGTGAATAAAAGAATGGGCAGATGGCAGTAGGTGCAACAGTAGATGTCAACAGCAGTGACTGAGCCAATCTGAAGCTCCCAGGACAGTCCGGGGTTGTCTTTCTGTCAGTCCCTTGATGCACATACCAGGTGTTCAGACGACAAGCTGGTGATGCCCATCTATCACAGTGTGAAGTATCCACTTCTTTATGGGGCCCATGGGGCCTTGTTTTCTAAGCGTGATTTTTAATATTGTGCCCTACTTCCTCACGTTGATAAATTTATAGGGTGGCACCCTTTCAAATCTCAGAAAGAAATAATTTTCAGCATGTTCCATGTAGGTGATCCCAGAGAGATGGTGCTAGTCCCGTGTCCATTCAGGTGCAGCCGTCCTCTGTCCTCAAAACTGAACAAAAGGTACTTGTAAAACGGAGTCTCTCAGAGCAAGGCATGGTATGAAAAAAAAATCACTATTCACATAATATGGAGTAACAGAACAAGGCATAGCCTAGCCTCAACACCAAATCTGCTTCATATTTGAAGAAAAGGGCTCACCCTTTTCTTCATCAAAGTCATGAATCTTGGTTTCACCTAAATGGAGGTTTCTAAGGGGAAAGGGACTAACTCTTTCAGCTACTGTGGGGGACATAGTGCAGTTATGCCTCTGCTTCTGTCTCTGTCACCATTGACAAGAAAAACTTGTACCATAAACTCTCTAGGGTCCCTAGGTTGCTGACTAAAAATCTTGAGACTTCTCAGTCTACATAATAACTTGAGGTACTTCCTTCTAAGAAAATATTTCTCCCTTGTATACAAATATCCTACTGATTTGTTTCTCTTGAGAATCCTGATTTAATTGAACTTGCATCAAGAGGCCAACCTTCTGGGGGCTGGAGAGATAGCTCTTACAGAGGACCTCGGTACAGTTCCCAATGGTGGCTAACAACTGTCTGTAACTCTAGTTCCAGGGAATCCAACACCTTCTTCTGACCTCTGCTAGCATTGCACGACAGAGGTGCACTTACACATGTAGGCAATACACTCATACACATAAAATAATAATTTCTTTAAAAAGAGACCAATCTTCTTGAAATCCAGGCTTTATATTTCCATTAAGTTTATCATCCTGCATCTTTTCCTTATATCAGTCTGTCATACTGCTTCCTTTAATTTCTTTCATTGAGGCTTCTTAGGTCATATTTTATTTTAATCGCCAGCATACTTTAATATATATAAGCAAAAAAATGTGGGCATGGTGGTGCACGTCTTTAATCCCAGGGCTTGGGAGACAGAGGCAGGCAGATCAAGGATCTCTGTGAGCTGGATGCCAGCCTGGTGTCCATAGGGAGTTCCAGGCCAGCTGTGGCTACAGGGAGACCCTGTCTCAAAAAGACCAGCATTGGTGCTAGGGAAATGGCTCAGCAGTTAAAAACACTGGCTTCTCTTGCAGAGGACCAGATGTCGTTCCCAACACTCACGTGATGGCTAACAACCATTCATAACTCCAGTTCCAGGGGATCCATCACCCTCTTCTGATTTCTTTTGGCATTGTACACATGTGGTACACTTACATACATGCAGGCAAAATACTCAGGCAAATAAAAAATAAAAATAAATAAATTAGGAAAAATGTTAAAAAGCTAGGAACAACATTTGTGCTCACAAAACATATTCTCCTGTGTATTAGTTACTTTTTTGTCTTTCTGATCAAATACTTGGCTCTTTATTTCATAAGGTTTAGTTCATTGTTCTTTGGCTACTTGCACTTGGACAAAACAACCTGGAAGAGGGAGAGTGGGATAGAACAGCTTCACCTCACTGAGAACAGGAAGCAGAGAAGGGAAAGGATTGGGACCCAGTACAACATTTAAAGTCATGTCCTGAATCTACTTCCTCCACCTAGACTTCACTTACCAAAATTTCCACAACCACTCGAAATAATGGCATGCTGGGGACCAAGCATTCAAAAAAGAGTCCGTGGGAACATTTCACATGCAAGTCATAGTATTAGGCTAATTTTTTGTAGCATACGTGTCTTCTTCATTTGTATTTAACTCTCCACAGGTTTTGGGGGTGTTTTGTTTGTTTGTTTTAGTAGTTTATTACTTTACTGTTGCTGTGATAGAAACACTGACCCAAGCAATTTATAGAAGGAAAAGTTTATTTGAGCTTATGGTTCTAGGGGAATTACAGTCCATCATGGCAGGGAGGCATGATGGCTGGAGGTGGCTGGAGCAGGAGCAGCAGAAGTGAAGCCCTCACATCATTACGCAGGCACAGGAAGCAAAAGAGCAGCTGAAGATCTGGCAAGGCTTAAGAACTCTCTAAGCCCACCCCCAGTGACGTGCTTCCTCCAGGATAGCCACACCTTCTAAAACCTCCCGAAACAGCAGCATCATCTGTGGACAAAATTTCCAAATACTCAGAGCCCATGGGGGACATTTTCAATCAAACCATCACAAGTAGTGATGGTGGTACTTTGTTTTGTTTTGCTTTGGATTTTTTTTCTTAGCCCCAGCTGGCCTGAAACTCACAATGTAGACCAGGTTGACCTTTATCTCATAGAGATTTGCCTGCCTCTGTCTCCCTGGTGCTGGGATTAAAGGTGTGGGCCACCATACCTGGTTGCTTTCCAATTCTGATAAAAGCAATGACATAGGAAATATTTACCTTCGGCGTTAACTGCACACACACAAAAATCTTCACAGTGAAAACAGAGATAGACTATCTGAAAGTCTCATGAAATCAAAATAATGATAAAAGATCCTTGGGAAGCAAAGAAGGTGAGGGGGTGACTTGGGGATATAGCTCAGTGGTAGAGTGCTTCCCTAACAAGTAAGACCTTAAGTTTAATCACCAACAATGGGGTCAAAAAGATGAAGAGGGAATTACTCCTGGGTTACATAGTTACATATTAGTTACACTAGTGTTCTGGGTTTAGGCATAGCCTTAGGTGTGGACTCTGTGAAATGTTCTTTCAGGGTCGTGGGAAAAGCTTGGACAGACAATTCAGTGCACAAACATTCAAGCTATGTGGTGAGTAGGATAAATGAAATCCCCTCCTAAAGAAAGGGCATCTTTTATTCAGTCTTTTTCCTAAAGCTCCAGTTCAGGCCCAGCCTGGGCTAACAATACTGTGTCTCAAAAAAATAAATAACAAGAACATTACTATAACCCCTTTGGAAATCAGTAAGGAAGTAGAGAGACCAGTAAGTTAAGGAGAATGACTTAAAGTGTGGTCCCTAGAGGGGGAAGACTGTAAACTGTTTGTGATCAGTACAGAAACTGAAACTGTTTAGAAACATTTCAGCATTTTGGTATTGTCCTTATGGACAAGCTCCTGATTAGTGGACTTTCTTAAGCACTAGGCAGTTCAGACGAAGCCTTGTTGATGAGTCGCAGGAGGATGGAGCTGCTTATTGTCAATTCATACGGGACCAAGATGCTGGTGAACTAAGAATTGCTGAGAGAGGGCTAAGGGTCTGGCCCTTTGTAGAGGTAATTGGAGAAGGGATCCGACATTTTATGTTGTCAAATAATCTATCAATATTCAAGAATTTATTTAAAAAGTAGAAACATCAAGGGCTGGAGAGATGGCTCAGCGGTTAAGACCACTGGCTGCTTTTGTAGAGGACCTGGGTTAGGTTCCCAGCACCCACATCTAGGCTACCACCGTTTGAAACTCCAGTTCCAGGGAATCCTACCCGCGGGTGCTCTTATATACATGCTTTTACACAGGCAACACACTCATGTACGTAAAATAAAAATAATAAATAAAAAATTTAAAGCAGAAACATCAAATGAATGTACATCACCTTGTGTATGTCTCATAGAAAGTCATAAAAACTGGTTCGTTTTTGCGCCTCCTCAAACCTTTGGCTCTAAGCGCTCATCTTTGAGAGAGCACTGCCATCTTGTGGTTAAAGTTGTTGGTTGTAATAGGCACCAAAAGGATAATTTGGCCAGTTATCACAGGGCATCAACTTCCTTTTCTCTGGAGGTCTTTGGTTGACGTCATGGGATCTGTCACATACACACCTTCCCAAGAAGCCTATTTTCAAACAATGAAGCGCACTTTGGAGAAAGGAAAGAAAAATAATTATTCTCGCCTCTTTAAATAGCGCTTCCAGACCTTAGAAATCTTCACGGTAGATGCTCAGTAGATAGCCTACGGGTGCTTTTCGAGCTTTATTGTACATGGGCATCATGGGAAATTTGAACCCCTACAGAGGGAAACAAACATTCTCATTCAAGATACAACAAACACTGAAGTGATGCTATTAGTTTGAACACAGACTAACTCTGGATGGTTTCTGGATTCAACGCAAGTTCCTGGAGCGACCAGAGGACTGCGCAGGAAAAAACCACAACTCCCAAGATGCCCAAAGGACTACAACTCCCAAGATGCCTGAAGAGCTACCTGGAGGCTGCGCTGACTGGCGCGCGGGTGCTCCTGGGATGTCATCATGGCGGTGTTTGCAGATTTGGACCTAAGAGCCGGCTCGGACCTGAGGGCGCTGCGCGGCCTGGTGGAGACCGCGGCTCACCGTGAGTGTTCAGGGTTCGCGCCACGGCCCCTACTGGGGCCGTTCCCACCAGCGTTCAGGCCTCCCGTGGGTTGTGGGATGCCCGAGGTCTGATGTGGCCTGTGGTGTCGCCCTGCTCCCTGGCGCGGGGAGCTGGTGCTGCTCTGTCTTCCAGAGGCCTAATGATGAGGAGGGCCTGGCGAAGGATGTTCGAAATGATGGGTCCCAGAAGCCCGGCCTGGACTCAGGGGGTATAGTCGCTAAGCCGGTGCTTAAGCATCAGGCTTTCCTGATTCGCCGAAGTCTGAGAAGCTGGGTCACAGGCACAGGCTTAAAGAATGCAGAAGTGGGGCGGTGTTGGGTATTGAACAAATTTGGAGGGAGGGTCAGTGGAGGGCCGAAGACCTGGACAGGAGGCCGTGGGTAACATCGCCGGAATATTAGAATGCTCTTCGTGTTCCGGTCAGAAGTGAAAACCCCGGAGACTGAGTCCTTGTTTTAATTTTAGATAGTCATGGTTTCTCTCCTCCTTAGAATTTGAGGAGATGAAAGAATAAGATTAGGGCAGCCACATCCGTTCTTCAGAGACAGCCTAAGCCCTTTGTCATGCTGTTTACGATACTTTTAAAGGTAGAAAAGGCCTCTTCCTGAGGACAGAATCACCATTTCTTCGTGTCCTGTGTTGTTGTTGTTGCTGTTGTTGGGTGGGTTTTAAAAAAAATATTTTATTATTTTCATTTTCTGTGTATGAGTGTATTGCCTGCATGCATGTGAGTGCACCCGTGTCGCGCAACGCTGCGGAGGTCAGAAGAGGGCTTCGGGTTCCCCTGGAACTGGAGTTAAGGACGGTTCGTGGGCGCCATGTGGGTGCTGAGAACCGAACCCGGGGCCTCTGCAAGAACAGTCAGTGCTCTTAACCGCTGAGCCATCTCTCCAGCCCCAGTTGGGTGTTTTTTGAGGCCGGTTCTCCCTTGTGTCTTCAGGCCATCCTCGATCTCGTAGAGACTCGCCTGCCTCTGCGTCCTGGGTATTAAAGGCGTATATCACCACGCCCGGCTTTTCATTATTTCTTATTCTTCAGTTGAGACAGCAAAACAAATGATTTATTGAAAACGGTTACACTTGGCTGAAGTGAGAGCTAGTCCAGAATGTACAGGTCCACGCAGAGGCCCCACAGGGACACAGGTTGTAAGCAAGGCAGCCTCCCAGAGGTGGTCTCAGCCGTTAGATGGTGAAGTTCGAGATCCGTCGGGAGGAATTGACAGTAGCATCCCAACCTCCACATCCCCTATTTGTGCTCCCGCAGCCTCCATGGTGCACAAGCTGTTTGCTTGAACCTCTGCCTCATCTCTTGCACTTCGGCCTCAGTGTTGGCTTCTTCCTCCACTTTGCTCTCTTGGTTCAAGAGTTTCAAGGAAGACGGTGCTCAGGCCCAGAGAGCAGGGAATGCCTCCTACTGCTGTTTAAGTGTGCTCAGCGTTTGTGTCCTGGTTGTGAAGTACGGTTTTCCCTTGATATCAAAAAAGCACTGGATCCAATGGCGCTCGATTTTCTTATATAAATGAGTAGTATCTGCCCAGAGTCCCCACACTGCCGCCAGTGTAATAGAAATCATCTCTACCTTGCTTATAATACCTAAGAAAAGTGCTATGTAAATAATTTGAGGAATAATGGGGGAGGGGTCTGGACAATGTACAGGCTGTTCCTGTTCCCCGTCTCTCCTAATCACCACCAAAACCGTTCTTGAGCATGGTCAAATGAATCCAAAGATGCAGTGCTGACTGACTACAGCAGAAAAACGGCGACTTTGCATGACAGCCACTAGTTAGCATTGTCTCTCTCTGAGATATATTTCCTTCATCAGTAGAGAGTAGACATAATGGCCTGGGCAATTAATTAAGTGCGAATATGCTTTGATAGGACCTATGAAGTGAATTTTCCAGGACGTAACTTATTGCAACCTGAATTCCTTTTAAAAACTAAATACCAAAAAAGTTACTGTAGCTTTCTTAGTTTATGATATAAGAAACCAGTAATGAGCTTCAGATACATGTTTTACAAATAGAAAATATAGAGTCCTCCAAGCTTCTGGGACCTTGCTCATATAAACGTACAGCAATGATGCCAGCATGCAAAAGACCTGTGCAAACTCAAGCAGACAACCCCCGCCCCCAGCACAGGACTGTGGAAATGGGCAAGCCCCAATCTTAGTCAAAAAATTATTAGCCGCTCATTACTGCTGGGTGAGGAAGAGCTGATCTTCTTAAAGGGTGGGACTCTAAACAGGCTGACTAGACCCCAGTGTATGAACTTGCGCTGAGGGATGTCTGGGGACACTAACTTGACACGATAGGCCTTAACACAAATGACAATGTATTAATTCCAGCTGGGGGGGCGCTCTGGGAAGGGGCCAATAGAGAGATGGCTCTGCAGTTCAGAACATTTGCTGCTCAGTCATGAGGACCAGAGTTCTTATCCCAGCACCCATATTGGACAGCTCACAAACACCTGTAACTTCAGCTCCAGGGATCCAACAGCCTCTTCTGGCCTCCATGGACACCTGCACACGTGTGCATATACTCACCCAGACTAAATAAAATAAAATAAATTTAAAAAAATAATGTACTTAAAGATGATTGTGGAAATATTGCCAAGATGGCAGGTGAGGGATAATGGTCTCATGGAAAAGCAGCATACTTGATCACTGTTTAGTAGATGATATCCCAAATGTGTGTGGCAAAAGTTTAGGGTGGACTTGGACTGGTAAAGAAGAATAGGGAAGAGATGTAGTTGGTTGATGTGACTGACTGGGTAAACAGTAAAGCCCAAAATGCAAGCACATTTTCTTTTTATCTTGTTTTAATTTAAAAGTCACTTTCTCTAAGGCTCTATTCTGACCCTCTGCAATCAATTTTCATTCTGCTTTGTGCTTCCATAGAACCTTTTCTTATCAAAGAATTTACTTATAAATGTCTTATTTAGTTGCCTTATTTCTCTTGCATACTCAATAAGTATTTTAGGGCGGAAAGAAAGAAGTTGTTGAAAACCGATAAAAGGGAGAGCAAATATTTTGGCATTACCGTGCATTATCTTTTAATATCGGTATCCTGCCATCTTCTTGGTATTTAGACAGCTTAAAGACAGGAAGGAGTCACAGTTTAGATGTATTTGGGGTAGGCCAATTGTGCAAAATAGTACTGACTGTTATGGTAATGGTAAAACAAACCCCTGGCCTCAAAGAGTTCCCGATCTCTCATAGAAGTGTGTGGGAGTCATCATCCCCTGCTCCTTAGAAAAGGAGAGAAACAGGGCATAGCAGAAGAACCGAGTGATGATAAAGGAGACCAAAAAATGCATAAACTTGATGGGATAAAAATGAGCAAAAAGATAGGAAAGAGGACTGGAAAAATGGCTCAGCGTTTAAGAACACTGGCTGCTCTTGCAGAGGACCTAGGTTAGGTTCCCAGCACCCACATGGCAGCTAACAACTCTCTGTGACTCCAGTTCCAGGGAATCCAATACCCTCTTCTGACCTGGGTGCACTTACACACATGCAAGCAAAACACTCATACACATAAAAATAATAAATAAAATACTTTCTTTTTTAAAAAAAAACGGGGGGGCTAATACTGTGTTAATGATAAACTACAGATTAATATGAAATGCATGTGCTAGTTCATTATTTCATGTTCATGACAGTCATAGGAAGTAACTGTTACTAACATTGTTTGACAGATGAAGAACCTGAAACTTAACATTGAATAACTATAAACAGTAGCGCTTAGATTTCTTTCCTACTCCTTTTTCAGTGCTGGGGTTGGAATCCAGGACGGTGTGTATGCTAGGCAAGCACTCTGCCACTATTTACATCCCTAGCCTCATCTCATAGTCTTGAAACTAAGATAAAGATGACTTTTGTGAACAGGAAAGAAAGAATTTTAAAGGACTATTTTCTTTTTCTTTTCAGTTGGATATTCAGTTGTTGCCATCAATCATGTTGTTGACTTTAAGGAAAAAAAACAGGTAAAATAAGATTTCTGAAGTTAATAAATCAATACATATGAAATACTTATATATATTAGTGTTTATATTGAGAATGTGGATACTAAAGATGGACATTGTATTTGTTACTTGTCATGGCCAATGACTTAACAGAAGCAGCCTAAGGAAGGCAGGGTTTATTTTGAAGGTACATTCCATCATATCAGGGAAGTCAGGGCAGCAGGGACATGAAAGGACTCAGTTTCTCTTCAGTTGGGGAGAGGTTGATGCTGGTGCTCACCTCAGTTCTCTTTACTTCTTCCAACACCTCAGTCCATCAAGTGGTACTACCTGCATTCAGGATAGGTCTTCCCTCCTGAGTTAAACCTTTCTGAAAACATCATCATAGAAACACCCACAGATGTGTTTCCATGGTGATTTCTAAATCCCAAGTTGACCATGGAGATTAACCATCACAAACATTTTTTTTTGAGACAGGAGCTCATATATCCCAGGCTAGCATAGAACTCACCTGGAACTTCAGATCTGCTGCCTCTGTCTCATAAGTGCTGCTATTTTAGATGTGAGCTACCTTACCCAATTTATGAGATGCTGGGGATTGAATCGATCAGTTTTTGCATGGTAGGAAAGCTCTCTACCAACTGAGCTACATCCCCAGCCCTCAAGTGTATTTCTTTTTAAAAAAACATTTAATACTCATATATGCATGTACTATGTTTTGATTAAATCAACCCCCCCATTCCTTCCCCTCCCATTCTTCCTCTATCCCCCTACCACCTTCTCTCCTATCTTCATGTTCTCTCTCACACACAACCACTGAGCTGAGTCCATTTAGTGCTGCCTATATGTGCATGGGTGTGGGGCCATCTACTGGAGCATGGGTAGCCTCTCAGGGACCTCATCCCTAAAGAAAACTGACTCCCCTTCCCACAGCAGCCATCAATTGCCAACAGCTCCGTGGATAGAGGTGGGATTTCTCCAGCTGCTTCCTAATCCATGTTGGGATTTTGGTTGCCTTGATTTTGTGCAAGTCTTGTGCATACAGCCCCAGCTGCTGTGAATTCAACTGTGCAACTGCACTGTCATGTCCAGCAAATATTCTTTCTGTTCAACCATCTATTCCCTCTGGCTCTTAAGAGTCTTCACACCCTCCTCCTCCAAGATCCCAGAGCCTGGGGGTAAGGTTGTGAGATAGATGTCCTGTTTAAAAACACTCCGTACATTATTATTTTATGTTAACAGTTGAGCTGGTATATAGTCATACAAAGGACTGTTTTTGTGAAGTATTCTGGAATGGCATAGGGATTCCTGATGTTGAATTAATATTAACTAAGCTACTTTCAAGGATGTTTAAAAATACATTGTTGCCAGTGGTGGCAAACACCTTTGGTCCCAGTGCTCAGGAGGCAGAGGTTGACAGATCTCTGTGAGTTCAAGGCCAGCTGGGGCTACAGGGAGACCCTGTCTCAAAAAAGACCCAAAAAAAAGTACATTGTTATCTGGATGTGAGAGTGCACACCTTTAATCCCAGCACTTCTGAGACAGAGGATGGATTCCAGTGAATTCAAGGCCAGCCTGATCTCTCATATATATAATTTTTGACTGAGCTGTAACTACAATATTTTGTTGTCATGGACTCTTAGCTGGGTGACTGATTTCTCTTTTTAATAGACTGATAAATATGTATATTTCCTTTTAGGCTAGCAATTTGTATCTTATAGATTATTTGTCTTAAAAATTGGGTTTTATTCCGCTAATTTACTGATGTTCTACTGAGTGCTGGGATTAAAGGCTGCTGGGATTATAGGTGTATGCCACCACTCCTGGCCTTCACTGTTCTTAACAGTTTCTCTGCCCTTTAGTTTCTTTCCTTGAAAAAGAAAAGCAGCTTAGTCCTTTTGAATACCAGAAATTAGGTTTCTTTTTAAGAGTTTTTTTTTCTGAAAAGCCCTTGAGTTTTTCATTATGCTTCATACCTTTCACCTGTACCTAGAGTGACTCCTTATCTATCATTTGTTGTAGGAAATTGAAAAACCAATAGCTGTTTCTGAACTCTTCACAACTTTACCAATTGTACAGGTATGTATTTTATTATTTAAGATTATTATCTGTCCAATTAATTCAAACATGCCAGCTCTAATTCAGTGTTCCCAACTTCAGCTGTATCTGCCTTTTCCTGCCAGTTTTCCTTCCCATCAAGACTAAGTTCTTCATCTGTCTCTTACTGTCTGTTCATTTGTGTTTGGTGTCCTTCCTCCCTGAAGTCCTACTTTAAATTGTGTCATCGTGTAGTCTGTCTCTTGCTGTCAAATAAACTCCTATAGTACAAGAACTGGGTTTTATTGATATTTACTTTCCCTACTAGCTAGCAATTTTGACCGAGTGCTTTCTACTGGCAAAGA